AGTTTCACAACTGGAGAGAATATGTCGGTGTAATCAATACCATAACGCTGCTCAAACCCCTTCACAACCAGCCTAGCTTTGTAGCGTTTGCTACCATCTGCCTCCTTGATGCGGTAGACCCACTTGCAGTGTAAAGCCTTCTTTCCTTTCGGTAGCTCAACTAACCTCCAAGTTTCATTGGATGTGAGAGATGTCATCTCATCATCCATTGCAAGTTTCCACTTGCCCTTGTCATCAACCCGAACTGGCTCTGCATAGGACTCCGGTTCACCACCATCAGTAAGCAACAAATAGAAATTAGAAGGCGGATACCTATTTGGTGCTCTCCGGTTTCTGGCGGCCTTGGTGGGGTTGATGGATCCTCATCACTGCTCAACTCTTCATTCTGATCCTGCTTGCTCCCACCCAAATTAGAGATATCCAACTCTATGATCTTCGGTCTATCTTGCTCAGAATCAGATGCACTCAATCTATCCTTGTACATAATCTGTTCGTTGAGCACCACATCTCGGCTACGAATAATCTTCCTATTCTGATCATCCCAGAATCTGTATCCATAGTCATCACCACCATAGCCAACGAACGTACACTTGACAGATTTAGCGTCTAGCTTGCTTCGGTCAACGGAACTGATATGAGCATAAGCAACACAACCAAATATGCGGAGATAAGACAGATTAACCTCCTTACCCGTCCACCTTTCTTCAGGAATGTCATTCTCCAACGAGATCGTTGGACTTCTGTTGATGAGAAAAGCTGCGGTGTTCACTGCATCCGCCCAAAACATCTTCGGTAAGCCACTGTTCAACCTCATGCATCTTGCCCGCTCATTCAGTGTTCTGTTCATGCGTTCAGCTATGCCATTATGCTGCGGAGTCCCCTTTGTTGTCTTCTCCATACGAACCCCATTCTCAGCACAAAACTTCTTGAACTCATGCAGTTCATACTCACCTCCATTATCTGACCGAAGGCACTTCAACTTCAAACCTGTCTCTGTCTCAACACGAGCTTTCCACCTCTTGAAAGCTTCAAAAGCATCGGATTTATTTTTGAGATAATAAACCCACACCTTTCTTGTGGCATCATTAATAAAGGTCATGTAGTAAGCGGATCCTCCCAAGGATCAAACTTCAGCAGGTCCCCTAAGGTCGGTATGAACTAGTTCCAGCTTCTCCGGTTTGATAGCTCGTCTTCCCTTTGAGAAACTGACACGTTTCTGCTTCCCGAATATGCAGTCCTCGCATAAGCCAACATCAACAGTCTTCAGGCCGGGTAGTTTGCCCTTCGAGCACAGCTCCTTCATCACCTTTTCGCTCATGTGACCGAGCAGACAATGCCACAAATTCACATTGTTTGTTGCAGCGGCAGCAACATCGATGCAATCCTTTGAGTTCGTTGTCATGTACAATGTATCCTCCTTTTTCCCCTTAGCAATCAGCAAGGCCCCCTTGGTGATCTTCCAATTTCTGCTGCTGAATGTAACTACATAACCTTCCTCATCCAGCTGCCCAATTGAAAGAAGATTCCTCCTCAAACCAGGAATGTGTCGGACGGCATTCAGTTTCAGCATGCATCCGTTTGGAGTCTTCACGTGGACTGCCCCCTTCCCGACAATTTTAAGAGGCTCATCATCAGCAAGATACACCTCTCCAAAATTGTCAGGAGTATATTGTTCCATCACTTCAGAATTACCACATGAATGGAACGAGGCTCCAGAATCCAGAACCCATGACTCCAACGGACTGTTCACGCTCAGGATCAGGAGATCATCACCCGATGATTCTGCCGCTGCGTTGGCAGATGTCTTCTCCTTCTGATCCTTGATCTGCTCCTTACACTGGCTTTTGAAGTGTCCGTACTTCTCACAATTCCAGCACTTGATCTGACTTCTGTCCTTCTTTCCCTTGCTGTTTGATTTGGATTTGGATCTTGATCTATCCCGATTTGACTTGGACTTCGACTTCGTTCTGCCCCGGTTCTCTGTACTCAACGCCGATCCAGAAGCCAAGCCCGATTCCTTCCTGCGAATTTCTTCGCTGACCACCAGATTTCTGAATTCATCGAATTTCAGTTTCTCCTTCCCCGCAGAAGCGCTGACTGCAGTCACCCTTCCGTTCCAGCTTTCCGGGAGAGAAGACAGCAGAATTAGGGCATGAATTTCTTCGTCGAATTTTATCTCAACCGCGCTCAACTGTGTGGTGATTACATTGAACTCGTTGAGATGATCCACCACCCCCGTACCTTCTGACATCTTTAGATTAAAAAGACGCCTCATTAGATGAACTTTGTTCACGGCAGATGGTTTTTCGTACATATCTGGCAAAATCTGCAACATCTCCTTCGTCGTTTTTGCTTTGACGGTGAGTAGGGCGATGTTTCTAGACAGCGATAATCGCACCACGCTCATCGCTTTTCTGTCCAGCAACTTCCAATCGCTCTCCTTCATGTCTTCCAGCTTATCATCCAGAGGTTGATACAGATATTTAACGTACAAGTAATCTTCGATCTGCAACTTCCTGAATCCGTAATCCGTTCCGTCAAACTGCATCACCAGTGTCTTCAAATTGTCTGCCATCGTGAGATCACACTTCAAACCTAGGGCTCTGATACCAATTGTTAGGAATTTAATTCACGCGCACGAAAAACAATATTGAAGAACACACGAAATTTGGTAACCCAGTTCGCCACGAATGACTCCGTCTGGGGGCGCTACCAAGCCAGGAATATTATTGCTATTTTCGGATCCACACACAATGATTACAAGGGAGAGAGCTTGTATTTATAGAGAAGTAAATCCTAACCCCAAGGCAACTAGGATGCGTTTCCTAAAATAAATTAAGAAACACGTTTCCAAAAATAAATTAAGAAATTGTCTCTAACACCTTATAGTCACCAGATTTCTTGTCTAGAGGTTTAGGATTTTCATGCATGTCTTTTTCCAGCTCAAAGTCCACCATAGTCTAATTTCAGGCCATAACATACCCATCTATTTCAGGCCAAAACACACCCATTTGAGTCAATCTTAAATAGCCAATTGTCCTTTATGCAAATAGCCAATTTAATTACTACGTATCATTTAGCAAAAACCTTGTTTAACATCAAATTACTGAACATGGAGGAAAGTAATAACTAAGCATCTAATTACAGACATAATTGCTAATGGATTGCAAGTCTTGGCCATATATAAAGACAATTCTTCAACTTCCTAATACATGCAATAAAGCTTAGAAAATCTATTTTTGATGAAACTATCAAAAAGGCCATAAATACAAAATTTTAGTCTCGGATGGAAGATAATTCAAATGCGTTTGGAGATCATATAAAGAATTCATCACATGATCCAAAAAGTGAAATATTGAGAATGCTTCATCAATTATACGGAGCATTTTCATGAACTTCAATTCTTTTGCATAGAAATAAGTTGGCTTATTTTCAACTTATCTTTCTTCTTCCAATGATAAAACAACTCCACATTTTCCGTACATAACCTCATCAACATGAGAAGGTAAAGGAAGTGTAAAATATGTTTGTCCACTTCATGTTTTTTCTTGAGTAATTTGAATAGTTGAGGTTCTTCCAAGACACGCTGAAAACGTGAGGATGATCTAAAAAATATACATTTCTTACCGAAAGAGAGAAGGTTTTCATACCCCATATTAATCAACAATCTCACAGTAGAAAAGAAACAATGGGAGAAGATTTGCGAAAACAGAGACTAACTTTGATGAACTTCAATCCAAGAAGGCTGAGGAACTCCCCCTATCTTCTTCACAAACCTCGAAGAAAACATTTTTTTCGTCCGATGCTCTGCCTCGCCCACGCCATATGCCCGCCTAAAATCCAGAAGCGCATGTGAAATTCCCGCCACCCGCCGTGAAGAGGTCCCGCGGCTTGGATTGCCGGCCGATTCGGGATGAAATCAGCGATATGGAGCAGTTTTTCTTTTAATGAAATCTATGGAGCAGTTAGCTATCCGAAGCTGTTTTTGCATTTTTTCTACTCCGCGAATTAGAAAACCAAGTCAAGATCGACTGACACCTTTTACATCATTAAGGAGAAGAGATCATGTGACTATGTGAGATATGGATTTTGCTTTGGTACACAAAATGTCTGTACACATAATGAATTGTCCGTGAAAGACAAATTTTCTCTGAAGAACAGATATATATACACATTTTATGTACACATTTTATACCAAAAGCATTTTCCGTGAGATACATGAGTGCTGGATGTCACGGGTAGTTATCACGCAAATATGGTGCAGGGAATGGACAACACTATGATCACCGCCCTGGCCCACGTAACAGAAGGACGACAACTCATCGTAGATCCGACCCGTATTATTTTTTGATCCGTATCGTTTGGCGGGATTTTGAGCTGTTTTTCCACTTCATCAAAAAAGGGAAGCCAAAAGAGCTTTGACCATTGATCCAGGGTTTAAGCAAAAGAGTTCGAAGCAGGAATCTAAATTCTAAAAAAGCTTTGAAATGAAAATAGAAGCAATTCGATGTCCAAGTGTCCAGCTCGAGCCTTCAAGAGCTTTTTATAACTTCTTTTGAGCCTTTTGATGTAAACAAAAACTAAAAATAATGTCCTCAAATACGAGAAGTTATTTGTTCTTTTTACACTACTCAAAGGATTTCACATTTTCACCAATTTGTTAATAAGGCCTTTGATACTTGTGAATCAAAACCCGAGATAAGTGTTTGCAAAAAATGTTTTTCAGTTACCCCAGAATCTTTCGTTGTTCCCTTCGTCATTAATTAGAAAGAACCCCCTAGTTGAATCGTTTTATTCTCATTTTTATTTTCCAGCAACCAATCTCGCTCGACGCATTTTTATTTATTTCTTTTTAATCGCTGAATTTAGTTAATCTTTGATTTCCTTTTGTCCGTCCCTGTGGAGACGATACTCGTACTTACACCACTATATTACAATCTATTTTAAGTGCGAGAAAACTCACATCACACCTCATCCCAAGTGTCCTTCAAGACCGCTCAAGCAATTATTTGGGAGTCGATAGGAGATCGGGGTAAGGCATGCAGGATGGGATTCTAATTGCTACCCTTCCATTTTCTCAATCAGTAAAAACAATGGAAGGAAACTAATACTATGTATTTATGTATAGTACTAATTGCATTTACAGGATAACTAGAAGAAAGACGGTCATTCCTCGTTGCTCATAAGAACATCTACATAACAACTACGACTGACACGGTGGTGTCTCTGAATCCACAATGGCTGTAATCTTATTCTGCAGCTCTGTCTTGTTTGCCCCTAGCAGGCTGTCAAATTTCTTTCCATCCTTTATGAAAAAGAAAGTTGGGGTTGCTTTGACCTCCCACAATGAACTCAATTCCTGATACAAATGATACAGTTGATGATCTTTGTTTCAATATTAGGGAGGAAATTTTGAATACTTGGATCTCAATCCACACTCTCAATCATTCAAGGAGTGGTGTACTTACACTAAGTTCGTCCACATCGACCACCAAGAACGTTAAAGAAGGTTGTTTCTCAGATAGTTCACAGTAGAATGGTGCAATCATTTTACAAGGACTACACCATGAGGCGCTAAAGTTTGCAACCACCTGCACACGGACGAATGACTTAGGCAGCATGAAAGATAATATGCATAGACACTTCTACATACTACTGATGAAACATGTGAAACAAATAGCATTGAGAGCATGCCAAAATAGCAATTCTGCATAAATAAAATATTCTCTTTTCAGTTAAATTACTTTATCATTTGACCATTAATGGGAAAGTTTCACTTTGGATCCCTCGATAGTGGGACAATTCCAATTTTATGTAAATGTGATCTCTCAACTGCTATAAATTAGATATAGTCAATCCAACTAGGGATGGCAACGGGGTGGTTCGGGGACGGGTATACCATTACCCGTACCCGCCCCGTTTGATAAAAAATTTCCCCGAAACCGCCTCGTTACCCATCGGGTATTTTTTACCCGCGGGTAACGGTTTTCCCCGCGGGTAACGGTTTCCCCGCGGGTAACCGTTTTATTAAAAAATAATTTCTTCCCTTCAAAATTAGTATAAATCCTAAAATGATGATTAACTACTTATCATTAACCACCTAAATTAAAAAAAAAAAAAAAACAAAATCAAATAGTACCACAGATAGATCGAGTTAAATAGAGTTAAAAAACAAAATTAAATAGTACCACAAAATTAAATAGTACCACAAAATCATAATTTAAAATTTAAAACTTGATATAAATTATAGCAACCAATCAAAATTAATTTAATCATCCAATACACCTCTACAAAATTATTTGCAATTACATAAATTAAAGCAAGGTAGAGTAATCTAAAATATTTGGACTTTAAACTCATACGTGAGTTTTATGAAAGTTATTGGGTGAAAAATTAAGAGAGTCACAATGGGAAAATTGCGTAGAGAAAATCACGAAAATCAAATAATCAATATGTGAAGAAAATAAATCTTGTAGAAGTTAACAAAGGAAGGATGGTGAATAATATTGAAAATTCAAAATCTAAAATAGTGAACTTTGAGCACCAACTCCTCATAATTGCAAAGGATAGCCGATAAGTTGAAAATTGTTTCAAAGTAATAGAGGGAATAAGTGTCAAATACTAATGTACTACTACTCATATATACTTAATACTATCTCCGTCCCAGGGAGAAGTTCCCAATTTCCTTTTTTGGCAGTCCCAACAAGAAGTTCCCATTTCCCTAAATGGAAAGTTATTCTACATCAAAACAGTGCCAAACAGTGCAAAACAGTGCAAAACAGTGTCGAAACAGTGCCAAACAGTGTCGAAACAGTGCCAAACAGTAAAATTTACCCCCAATAACTTTATTTCCTTAATATGTGTGAAAGTCAACCTGGGAACTTCTCCCTGGGACGGAGGGAGTATATTAAATGTGCGGGTCGGGCAATGGCCGGTGTGGGTAACCGTATCCAAATTAAACAGGGCGGGTAACGGGGCAGGTTACGGGGCGGGTAGGTATAAACCCATAACCGCCCCATTACCCGTTTACATAAATCGGGTATTCCCCGCCCCGTACCCGTTACCCAGTCAAAGCAGTTTTCCCCATTTTGACCGGTTCGGTTCGGTGCGGGTATCCGTCGGCTCGGGCTAAATTGCCATCCCTAAATCCAACCAGTTAAATTCACTATGTACACCATTAAATATTAGAGTTTATGAAGACATTCTTGGCATTCTATTTTGCTGAGAATGCCCTTATAAACATTAATGTTGAATTGTGATTTGAATGAGAGAGATTAATTGTATCTAAGTTAGAACCATTGAGAGACTACATTTCCGAAAATTGAAAGGCGAACGCCAAATTGCATAGTTTCTAACAAGTGGTTGACCAAAGTGAGATTATTCCTTCTTCAATTGTGTTAATTCAAACTGCTTGGGAATTCCAGAATGCTGCTATTTTCATATGCTTCAAAGTAACAAAGGCAATATGATAGAGGGTTACAATTTTGTTATCGTTTCTTGCTTCTTCAATCTTCTGTTCCCAATTTTCTTTTGTGGTAATGAGATTTACATTTCCTCCTGAAAAATGAACATTACAGCATGAAACATCATCATCGTCATCGTCATCATCATCATTCTTGGACCACAACTGCAATTCCAAAACTTAATGTCGGTGGAAGATCACCCAAAGTAAACAACTAGTTTGGTATCATTGTAAATCATACGTAGTACTATCTATTATACTACTTATTAGATTGATTAGTAAAATTCCTGGTTGAAGAATTCAAAGAAGTGGCATTTTACATATTTCTTGACTAATAGGTTCTCCTTGGATCTCAAAGATAGAAGAACCATAAAGTTCTCTTTCATTTCCAGGGTTAACTGATGCAAAAAATTAACTCTTTTCTTTCCATGAATATCCATCTAGGAATTTTGTTTAACTATATCAGGAATGTGAAATGGCACTGAAGAAGTTCACAAGGCACCACGTCACCAAGGAGAAAAAGTAAAAATTCCATTTAGTGAAATGTGAAAACTGGATAACCAAACAGACCTTGGACATGAAACATAAACTTGTGAAGATATTCCCCATTCTCATGCATCACAAAGCTGGACTTCCCTGTGGAGAAGAAAACAATTGAATAACTTGCACCTATTCGCCCCACCTATTAAAATCTGAAAGGAGAGAAAAATGGATATTAAGATGATTACATTCACAAACTCAAAAAAGGATTTTTTATTTATTTCTGAAAAACAGTAATGAACCACGGATGTTTCCTAAGACACATTGTTTAAATGAAAAAAAGAGATACGTAGTACTATAACAATAGCAATGAAGAAAGCCCAGGATCGACAAATTGGTCTTCTCACCAAAAACGCAAGTTTTATTTATGAATTAACATATGGAATTAGGGAATCGAAAAAAAAAATACATATGGAATGTAGGGAATCGAAAATGAACGACAAATAAGATGGTGATTATTTCTTAAACGAAAGAAAATTTTACAATCTTCTGAAGATATAAAAGGGACTCGAACTTTGGATTTTATAGCAGAAAAATGCAGATAATGGTGTCTTGATTCATGAACTCCTGAAAGAATTTTCCTTTTAAATTTAGGCAGATCTGAAATTATTATTTATTTGATTTGGCAATTTTGACGGCACACGCAGGAGTTTCAGAGAGAACTATAAAGAAAGATGTTTTAAAATGATTAAAATGGTAGAGAAAGATGTGATCCACATCATTTCATATTTTTCTACTTAAATCTCAATCACAACTTTTACCTTTTCAATCACTTTATTAAAATTTTTGCCCAAAAGAAATGAGATCATCAAGTTGGGACGGAGGGAGTATTCTTTACACATGTTTTTTAGTTTTTACGGTAATGTTAGTTCCGTGATTTTTTAGTTTTTACGGTAATGTCTTTTTAGAGAAAAGGGGCAAATAAGACCACGTACTAAGTTACTAACAAAAAAAGGTCAAATAAGGTCTTATCTTCAAGAATTCATTTGAATGTCTTCCCGATTGAATTGTTAGCTTAAATTTGGTATGAGTAAACTAGACTAAATGAATAAGATGGTCGAAAAATTTTATCACAAAATTCCAGCGAGAACCACCCCAAATGGCGAATGCCGGACAATGCCTCATAAATAAGGCCTTATTTGACCTTTTTGGTTAGTACGTAACCTTATTTGCCCCTTTTCCCTTTTTTTTTTGAGAATTTTACGGTAATGTTAGTAAGATTGTTTTTACTAGACGGCAAGCAAATGATAGTGCTCATGTCATAGGTAGGACGGCTACTAATCATGCTTATCGTATGACCTTTTATCATCTTCCTTATTTTATTTTTGATATTATTAATAATGAAATGAACTAAGTTATTCCTTCAAAAAAAGTTTGAAACACAACCAACTACTAGTATATTTTTTGGAATTAATTCCATATTCTATACTCCGTAAGTTTTATGCCAATTTCACAATTAGAGCTCGCTTGGTGAATATGTTTTTCTGCTTATCAGGTTTAATAACCAACTTTTAAACTAAACACGCAACTTTTGATTTTATGCGCTGAATTGTGAAATAATAAGAAAAAGTATAGATGAAGTTACTTTTCTTGTTGTATTCGTTGAACTTACTGTAGATAATTATTTTAGCTATTTTTCCACAAATTTTTTCTTTATTTTATTTATAAAATATATTTTAATTTTTTTTTTCTTAAATCAGCACAATCAGCCAATACAACACATGCAACCAGAACTTCATAAATTTTAGCAGAATCAGACGATTCAGCTGATTACAGTGTTACCAAAGGGCTCTAAATTCACGTTTTTCACTTTGTCCACATTTAATATTTGACTAATGTTTCTTTACAATTTGTGCTCCTTTTCCATCAATTTTAACCACCATAAACATTGACGGATGAATTGTATATGTGCGAAAATACAATAATCATGTACCAAAAGTGATCAAAGTAAAAGAAGTTGACCAATTTTAGAATTGATGTATACTTATAGTACCAAAAGTGGAATTTATTCTATTTTTTGCAGCAAATCCACTATATTATGTTCATGAGACAAGTTTAAAATACTAGTAGTTGTTTAAAATTATCAAACTAAGAGTTCTTTTTTAAATAATTGGACAAGAATACTCTTGCCAATGCTATTGTTCCTATGTCACCACCAATGCTACAATGTCGCCACTATCCGCCGGAGCTCTGCCGCCACCGGTTGTCGACATGTTGGATTTTGCCGCCGACATATTGTTCATGATCGTCGGAACTCCGGCAGCACAAAAACCCAGATTGTATCTGCCGCCACTGATCGCTGCGTCGCCACTACGGACTGTCCGCCACCATCGGATTGACCTGATTATCCAAGAGAACTTGAGGGGTAATTAATTGTATTAATTAAACTATGTGTATTACAGGTAGAAAATTACTGTCTACTCCTGTTTAGGGATGACTAAAGATGACTCCTATTTAAAGAAAAATTGTATGTTTTACTCCTATTAAGCGCGAGTACTTTATGCTTAATCAAGTTTAAGTGTTATCTTTTTGGTAGAAGGTAAACATATACTCCTTGTGTCCCATACTCACTTACCATTTCGGGATGTCCAAGTTTTTCCCCCATTTCCCATTTTGAAAAATTTTGTGTGGCTAACATTCATTTACCCTTTCTCTTACTCAACCACAATCATGCATTTCTGTTGTTCCGCATTATTCTCATTTTCTTAATAATCGTGCCAAATGAACCGGGGGGCATTTGCCAATCAAACTCATGCAAAATCAAACTTTTGCTTAATAACAAATGCACTTTAGCATATTGCCTTCTTTGTAACACCGTCCCCAAATGTATTTTACTTTTAAGTGAGTAATGTATTAAACCTTATGGAATGGTTAATAAATTTACGAAGTTGTGAATTTTATTAATTCTTTCACGTGAATAGTGAATTGCACGTGGGCCCACACCGGGAGCGGGGGCCGCCCGAAATTTCCGAAACCATATACTTTATTTATTTTGGTCAAGATAATAATTACATAGTAGTGGGTAATTCATTTGGGCCAAGGGAAAGGTATAATGTGAACCGATTGGTCAAAAGTGGCTCAAATACCGGTTTTGGTAATTTCACGGATAACAGCCCGAAATGAATTTCGGGGGCTTATAAATTAAAATTGGGGAATGTATATATTCATTATAAGGGTCATAATGATTGAGAACGCATAATATATTTTACTTGACCCGATAAAATAAAATATATTTAAAACAGTCTGAAAAATACAACTTTCGGGACCGATTGTACACATTGGGACACAAGGGGATGACCTCCCACATGAGTGGGGGTCACCCCACGTTTTTTTGTGCTAGAATAGACAAAGGGAGAGCTGGTTTGACAAGAGGATGAGTGGAGGAGGTGCAAAGGGACCCTTTGACCTCACTCATTTGCCAAATGAGACAAAGGAGAACCCCTACCCCCTTTCCCTTGCATTATTCGGCCAACCCACCAAGAGAGGAGAAAGAAGGAGCTCTCAACTCATCCTCCATTTTTGCAGCACAAGCTCAAGCTTTAGGAGTCCAAAGAAGGGGTTTTAGGAAGGAAAAGTTGGGAGAAAGTGAGAAAGATTAAGGTAATGACCTTATACTAACTTTTCCTTTATTTTCCTTCTATCATATGAGATATATATCATATGAAGAACCTTGAGGGTTGCTCTACATAATTTAAGTGTAGAGTAATGGGTTGGAGTGTGGTTCTAAGTCCAAGAACGGACTTAGAAGCCAAAACGGCCGGTTCACCGGAAAATAACCTTTTAGAGGTTATTTGTATTGATTAAGGTTTTATGATGTTAAAAACCTTGTTAGGACTTGATTAAAGTATTTTTGAGCTTCGCCGGAGTTTCGCTGGAGTTGGTCAAAGTTCGTCGGAGTTGGTCAAAGTTCGCCGGAATTAGTCAAAGTTCCACCGGGAAGCGGAGAACGCGTTTAAGCTCACTTGAGGTGAGGATGACCGACTATATTGCTTATAATCTTTGGGTTAATTTCATGAGATTTCCTAAATGAATACAAAAATGTGATTTGCATGGGTTATTAGTGATTAATAATGCCTAAATGAAATTACTATTGATTATAAGTATAGTTTGCATAATATACAAATTTAAGAATAAATTATGTATGTGTATACGTTAAGAATATGATGGCATGATAGTTGAATCAACCATGAATCCCATTTGTGATAAGTATGCACTTTTATTTCATGAGAAGAAGCCATGAAAGTGTTAAAGTGATATTTTGATATTAAGCCAAATTACACATGAATGAAGAATTATATTTAAAGGAGTAAATAACTAGTATTGAGATATTAGTTGGAATTGTAGTTGAATAACGGATGAATGGATCCTAAGATATTGAATTGTAAAGAATCGGTGATTATTGAGCTGGGATTTAGACCGATGTAGATGGCGGTGATTATTGAGCTGGGCTCTAGACCGTAATAGTTATCGGTGATTATTGAGCTGGGCTCTAGACCGATGTAGATAACGGTGATTATTGAGCTGAGCTCTAGACCGTAGTAGTTATCGATGATTATTGAGCTGGGCTCTAGACCGATGTAGATGACGGTGATTATTGAGCTGGGCTCTAGACCGTAGTAGGTAACGGTGATTATTGAGCTGGGCTCTAGACCGTGGTAAGTAATGATGAATCGGCACTAAACGAATAAAGTTAACCATGATATAATAACACCCTAGATTGAGGGTCTTGGAAATTGAAACTTTGATTATACTTAGTATAGTTGTCATTGTACTTGTCAAATGCTTCCAAGTACTGACCTCCCCTTCACGGGGGAGGCCACCTCACAGTTTCAGGTAGAACTTGAAGGTTGCTGCCATCGCCCACTTGTTTCGGGAAGATCAAGGAGAGAAGACGTGGTTCGTGCTTCCTCCAAATTCTGTTTAAAAACAATTATATTAATGCTCATGGATATTATATTTTTGAATAATTATTTGGGGGCTTGTATGTCCATGTTTGCCAAAGTGTGGCATGAATACTTGTATCAAATGTTTCCGCTGCTTGAATGAATATTTTACATTATGTTTGTTTATGGATGTACTATGTGTGAATGATATCCCAGACGCCTTGTATAGTATGGATGTGTTGGAATGTGGTTGACTATTCGTACTGTACAGCGGATTGTTGACGTGTCCGGATAGGTCCGGGGCGTGACATTCTTAAGCAGTTCTAGACAAGGTAAAAGTTCAAAAAACGATTATACTAATAGGCTAAATTCCGAAAAGCACCTGGTAAACAAGTAGTCTGATCTGAAAGATTACTCTTTTGACATTAGTATCTTTGTGTGCAAATCTGAACTCATTTCTAGCTTTTCATATTGAATATATAGTATGATACAAAGCCAACTGGATAGCTTTGCTTCTAAACCTTGCTCCCTTATATTGTTTCATAGTTCATACACAACTTGATTGTTCTAATTAGTTTTGTAGCACTCTTTTATTATCTACATTCCTATGCATAACTCTTTCCCACATTGCTCGAGAGGATGCACACTTACTTAGTGATGGATATTCGATCCTAGGGCAGACGGAAATCCGAGGAGATACTGAAAAGTGTTAAGTATAGATTGAGTAAAAAAAATTGACAGATTAACAGTAAGCTAAGGCGCAAGAATAACGATCC